TTTTTACATCTTAAGGGTATTTTCATAATTTCTTATTGGTATTCTCATTCCTTACACGAGTCATCCGAGTCTTATATAGTTCACTAACTTCTTATCGTAATCATATTAGATTTACCTCAATTAACGGCATCCATAAGATCAATCGAACTCATTCATGCATTTACCAACTATTAATGCGTACTATAAAGCATACAAAAGGTAATAGGATTTCCTTGCCACATCGATTGGCCATTATAACCTCATTCGATCACTTTTGAAATTGATTTTGACGTCCCATAGTATCTCGAATACAAGGTAAAACAAATTGCATCATAAACGAAACTTAATCGAGAAAATTATTCGAATCGAAAGATAAACCATTGAAAAACACTTTATCGGGTTCGAATTTGACGAAATGAACTTCAGATTCGGACTCAGGATGTCGAAAAACATAAAATATGATTTTTTTGAAATTTTAACTTTTTAGTCACTGTCAAAAGTCAAAGTGAACTCTAGGTCAACGGTCAGTCAAAGTCAATAGTCAGAGTTAAAGTCAATGGGTCAAATTAATTTGAATTGATTTAGATTGGTTTGGGTTGACTCAGTTCGATCTAAATTAACTCGATTTGATTTATTCTGAGTTGACTCGATTTCTAGAATCTTCAAGCTGAAAAAGAAGCCCAACGCATAGGGGCAGCGCGTGCAATGGTAATGGAGGCTGTTGAGGTCGGTCGATTACCCCCAAATATTCCTTCAACACAATTAACTCAAATCAGTCAACAAATCCATCCAAAACAATGCAAAATGAACTAAGAAAGAAACCCGAGTTCTTACCAAGATAACCGAAGAAAGAATTACGGCAAGGCGAAGAACTCGGTCGGGTTTTGATCGAAACTGTCTGATGAACCCAATGGCACAATCGGTGAGGTACACAGATGGTGGGTTTGACCGAAAATTGTGAAAATAACATTCGGGTTTTAAATTTTTTGGTGAAGCTTTCGTGGAGCTCTCCACGGCAGACGGCGATAGTTCTCTGACTGTGGTCAGTAGGGGTTTGGTCGGACGAGGGTGGCAGTGCTCCTGGAATGGCGGTGACATTTACCATCCAACAACGACAGAGACTGATGCTATGGCTTTGAACGATCCTTTCCAGAATTTGTGATGAACGACAATGATGATCGACAGTGTAGGCCACCGCTATCCGCTAGAGTGCTGGTGTGGGTTTAGAAAATTTCCTTGATCCCTCATAGATGTTCAGTCCTCGTGAAATGGAGGGTGCATCCAATTTTACTGAGAACTGAAGAATTTGAAGGTGACAGGCTATTTTTAGATGTTCTTCTCCGTTCATGGTGGGTGGGGTGCCTATGAAGGGGAGGTTGTTGGCATTCCCGCGAAGATGGTTGAAGGTACAATGCATAGGGAAGCCACGACCCATGATGACTATAGCACACCTAGGGGAGTGTTGTGTCAGATTGTGGTCCCTAATAGACAGCAGACAACTAACCTCGAGAGTAATTCACGCCAAGATAGGTCTTTTTCTCCATGTGATGAAAATTGGCATGCAATGCTTGTTCTTCCAGCTAGTGAGTCTTATGGGCCCGTGGAACCAAATATTGGATCCGGTAATGCTTGTCTTGATAAAAAATCATATCAGTTTATTGGCCAAGAAGTATTCAATGAGTCTAGGCTGGTAAGTATTCCAATTGAGTTGGAAAATGTTGGACCAAGAACCAGTGGGTCCAAAATAACATTGAGACAGATTTCAAACGAGTTGGGTACACCATCTGATTCAAGAAAGCATAGAGCGATGAAAATAAAAAACCAGAAAAACCTCAGACCATCGGCTGAGAAGAGCATGCAAATCGGAGTGACCAGTGGCGTGTGCTCAAATTGGGAGTCCATACCTGACCAGAATCGAGCACAAATAAATATTCACTCTCGAGCACAAGAGGATGTTGATGAGGCGAGGCGAGGCTCACGGTGGAAATAGGAAGAAGATTGGGTGTAGCTTTCACTGTAAGTGAAGACGTAGTGGTGGATAAGTTGCTGGAATATGAGGAAACCATCGACCAGGACTCTAACCAGTTTGATAATCATGTATGCTTAAATTTGTGTCAGTGTATTTGTGTTAGTTAATTATGAATTGTGCGATTTTAACATGGAATATTAGAGGATTGGGGAAAGGGGAAAAAGTTAAAGAATGAGAATAATTCTTTGGCTTGCTAAATAATTTTATTGAAAGCTTGGGGCTGCCAGTTATCATTAGGAGATATTTCAACGTGGTAAAATTAGAGGCTGAGAGATTTGGGGTGGTTTCGATGGATTTGTACACAATAGAGAAGTTATCGATGTTCAAGTGTCGGGTAGCGGTTTCACGTGGTTCAGAGGGGGTAGTTCGATTTCAGCAGTAATACTTGACAGGTTTCTTATTTCCTCAGAAATCTTGATTTGCTTCATATCAGTGATTCAGTTTGCGCTACAACAAAGCTTATCCGACCACAACCTGATAGTATTAAGGGATGCTCATCGCCCATTCAAGTGGTTCTCACACTGGGCTGATGACGAAGGTTATGTGGACAAGATTAAGTCCATGTAACACCCTCAATTCATATCCGACCTGAATACGAATCTGTGATGTCACATTGACTTTTCAAAACGTTTACTCTTACAAAATTGTTGAAATTAAATTTAAACTTTCATTAAAATAAAAGTGAAATGATTTACATGGTATAATAAAAAATATTTACAAAATCGATCAGAGCATATGTGATTGAAACTTTAATTACATGCCAACATAATTAATATAACAAAATGACATTGTTTGAATCACTTCTGATTTGATCTTCTTTAAAAGATATGTTGCCTTGATAGCGCCTAACTCTGATCTTCTTGCTTCTTGGTACCTATGTGTGAAACACTCACACGCCAAGTCACAGACTTAGTGAGGCATAATACAATAATGCAATACTTAAGTCATGAACATACAATTCAATAATATTAAAGTATAATGACAATCATCATCTATCTACTCATAGTTGTAAAAAGCGCGCCTGAGGCGCAAAAGCGCAGAGGCTCACTGGACGGGGCTTTTTCAACACTGAAGCGAGGCACGTAGCCTAGGCGCAGCGAGGCGCATCGATGCTCTGAGGCGCGAGGCTCAGTCGAGGCGCAATTGAGGCGCGATGTGGGCTTAAAACCTTGTAATTATTACTACAGGGCCTTCTCTTCTATGCATACATGGTCTGCAAAAATGAACGACCATTTTCGTTATGTTGTTTCAAACAGATAAGCTTTGTAATCGTTTTTGGTCCTTTCTTCACCTAAGTTTATTTATCTATCAGTATTTGATATTTTCTTTTCCGCTCATCAAAATTTGTGACAGTCTAAAAATTAAGCAAACCTATAATAGGAATGCATTGCGATTAACTGATGAAACTCGGAAAGAAATAATACTTCTATGTATTAGCATAGATTAAAAAGAATGTTTAATTAACTTACTGATTAATAACTAAGTGAAGGATATAAATCTATGATTTAAAAGTTTTGTGAGTATGTATACTTAAATTATTCGAATTTTACTAAAATAATTAAATTTATTTATTTTGAAATCTAATTTAATTATTCTGAAATTTACATTATACTAATTTAAATAATAATATTTTACAGAACACAAATTTTAATATTAAATTTTAAAATAAACTTATCCTATCATATCTTATCTTCATTTTTATTTTTTTTAAAGAAAATATTTTATTATTATTTGAATTTGATTTTTCTTTTGAGGCTCTAACTACACGTAAGAGTCTCATTTTCTTATTTTTCCTTCTCCTTTCTTATTTAAAACCCTCAATCTACTGTCAATCGGCCTTCTAATCCATACATACTAATCTATCGATCATTCGCTTCCTCCTTTTCTTCGACTGTAGACTGCGACGTTGAACAAGAAAGTAGCAACAATTCGATTAATTGATTCATACATTCAATTCTTCCCGTAAGTGATTCTGTTCTTCGATTGATCTTTCGATTTATACTGTTAACCATCTGTGTTGAAAGAATTTTGTTTTTCTGAATCAAATTCTCTTGATAATCACCACAATTCGTGTGTATGTGTTTGTTCTTGTTTTTTTTCTTTTCTTTTCTAAGTATACAGTTATTCGTAATTTCGTATGTGTCTGTTCTTGTTTTTGTTTCCTTTTTTAAGTATGCAGTTATTCGTTTGCGTATGTGTCTGTTCTTGATAATCACAGTTTCTCTTATTTAATTTTCTTTTTTCATTTTTCTGGCTTCTGGGACAATATTGCAGCTGTTAATCATCAATATTTTGCTTTTGGAAAATCTGATTTGACTTTATGACTTCTGAAAATCAGTCATCAACTTCTTCAAAGCAAGATATAGCTTGGAAGTATTGCATTGACATGGAAAAAGGTAAAGTAAAATGTATGTTTTGTGACAAAAACACTTCCGGAGGTATTTATAGGGCTAAACAACATATAGTGGGTGCATACCGAAATAGTACAAGATGTCTAAAATGTCCAGCTCATGTACGCGAGGAGATTAGAGAATACATGGAGAAAAAGTGTCAAAATAAAAAAGAAGCGGAAGTTTTATATGATTTTGATGATGTAGATAACTTTGGGGATGACGAGGATGATGAAATTGGTACATGTGTTCGCAAAAGTGGTAATAGTACTAGTAAAGCATCAAAGAAGCAAAAGGGCATTAAAGGACCAATTGATATGTTTTTCACCCCACCACCCGAACAAGTTGTGAAAAACAGAAAAGATGGGAAAATGAAGCAACCAAGCATCAATGAAGCATGTAAAAAACAACTACGGGAGAAAGCATGTATGGAGTTGTCAAACTGGTTCTTTGATGCTGGATTGGCGTTTAATGCAGCAAATTATGATAGTTTTAAAGTAGCAATGGAAGCGGTGGCACAATGTGGGACGGGTTTCAAACCTCCTACGTACCACGAAATCTGAGTTCCTTTTTTAACTAAAGCGGTTAAGGCAACCGATGAGATGGTGAAACAAGTACATCACGAGCATTGGGCTAAATATGGTTGCTCAATCATGTCAGATGGATGGAGAGACTCGGTTGCACACAAAGACATTATCAACTTTTTAGTCAATTCTCCAAAAGGGTCAGTTTTTATCAAATCAATTGATGCTTCGGACATTGTGAAGAATACCGAACAATTGTTTATTATGCTTGATGATATGGTTGAGGAGGTTGGTGAGAAAAATGTCGTTCAGGTGGTAACCGACAATGCTTCTGCATATGTAGCAGCAGGTGATGAAACGTCCACATTAAATTATTATATTTGTATATATTTATATAATTATATAAGACTTGAAGTTTTATACTATTTTAATTTTTATGTCTTTATAGGACGTTTATTGATGGTGAAACGTCCACATTTATACTAGACTCCATGTGCTGCTCATTGTCTTGATTTGATGCTTGAAGACATAAGAAAGATTTCGAAAGTTCGTGTCACGTTGAAGAGAGCAATGGCCTTAAACGGGTTTATATATAGCCGTACAGGTGTTGTAAACATGATGAGGAAGTTTACCGGGAAAAGAGAGTTGGTGAGACCCGCGATAACCAGATTTCCACCGCTTACATCACTCTTCGTTCAATACAAGTTCAAAAGGCAAACCTTAGAAAGATGTTTACTTCTGATGAATGGAGGAAGAGTAAATACTCAAAAGAGCATAGCGGTAAAAGAGTCGCATCCATTGTTTTGATGCCTACCTTTTGGAGTACAATTGTGTATATCCTTAAGATGATGGGTCCTCTCATAAAAGTGCTTAGGTTAGTTGATGGTGAAAAAAGGCCGGCCATAGGCTATGTATATGAGGTCATGGATAGGGCAAAAGAAGCAATTGCAAACTCCTTTAATAATGTAGAGGACAAGTACAAAGATGTGTTTGCAATTATTGACAAAAGGTGGGAATGTCAACTCCATCAACCATTACACGCTGCCGGGTGTTATTTGAATCCTCAGTTATTCAACTTAAATCCCCAAATTCAAGAGGATAAGGAGGTGATGATCGGGTTGCTTAAATGCATTGAGAGATTAGTGCCGAGTGTTGTTGATCAAGGTAAAATAGAGGACCAATTGTCACTTTATAGGAACGCCGAAGGTATATTTAGGATGGCAATATGCATACGTCAAAGAGAAGCAAAGTCACCAGGTTACTTTCTTTATACATATATAAAATAATATAAATCAAATTTAATTTTTTCTTGTTCTAAAACTTGTTCTAAAATATATATTTACAGCCGAGTGGTGGGCTTATTTTGGCAATGATGCACCGAAATTAAAAAAAGTTTGCCATCAAAGTCCTCAGCCTTACGTGTAGTGCAAGTGGTTGTGAGCGAAATTGGAGTATTTTTAGCCTCATAAGTAACTCAAATATCATTTAAAAAACATCATAAGTAATTTTTTTGACTCTTGATTATTCTGTTATAATTTGGCAGCTTCATAACAAAAGAAGAAACCGACTTGCGCAAACTCAGCTCAATAATTTAGTCTATGTGAAATATAATCGAGCGTTAAAGCGGCGTTATAATCATCGTGATGTCATTGATCCAATCTCTTTGGATGACATTGATGAAAGTAACGAATGGTTGCTTGGTAGAATGGATGAGGATGAAGAAGAAAATGAAGATTATGTGTTTGATGATGACGATTTGACATGGAAGGATGTTGGTATAGCTTCCGGAGCTTATGAGCGTGACCATAATACTAGAAGAAAGAAAGTTGCTAGTTCAAGCTCGAAAGGAAAGGAAAAATCTAGACCACACCTTGTAGATGAAGATGATGATGAAGTTGTTATGCTAGAGGAGAGTGACACTGAAGAAGAAGACATTGGGGATTGTGAGACGAATGAGGAGGAAGATGATGACATACCACTTGACGATGATGATGAGGATTAGTTTGATGTTTGATGATGATTATCAGTGACTTTATTTGATGTTTTGTTTTTGCATGTTGAATGTTTTTGTTAAACTTAGTACTTGATTATGCTTGTTGATAACTTTTATGACGTTAGGTTGGTATTTTGAATTTGAGAATAAACTCTATTGAAGCCTAATATTGGGTATCTATGATATTTGAGTTTGATTGCATTAATATATACATGTGTTACAATTTTTTGGATATCATACGCCTCGCCTTCGTGAATCCCGCGCCTTTCATGCGCCTCGCGCCTCAAGGCTCCAGGACACTTTGCGCCTCGATGCGCCTTGAGCCTTTGATAACTTTGTATCTACTTAACACGAACATACATGGACATGCATTTAATAATCGTAACCTATCACATTATTCAATATTATTTCATATTATATCTTTTATTAGCCCATGTATATTACTGAAAACATGAGGTATGTGAGTGCATTGAGGTTGTGCACAAATGTTGTCACCATATCTCGTATAAATTTGCACTGAGTTCCATATAAAATTATCTCGAAGGACCACATATATGTCTCGAATAACCTCGTAGAACCCTCGACTCTTGGCATGCCAATTATACACACAGCTCTCATATCACATAACATGGGCTTTACAACTTATATGTTCCACATGTTCACATAGTCAACCAAATCATCAAATATGCATGTACTCATATAACTCATATAATTTCTCATGTAATCTCATAGGTCCTATCTCATAACATATATCGTATGTGAATAAAACTACTTATATTGTATCATGTAGCTTATGTTTTGTTCTCTTATGTTCACATAGATCACATAACATATATCATAACATATAAACATATACCACTTATGCATATACTCATAATAATCATGACATATAGATGCTTATAACTATAGAACCATGAAATCAACGTAGGAAATAGACTTATCACAAGTCTTATTTCCATAAAACACTATCTAATATAGTATGCACTCACCTTAGCCTCACTTAGTTCAATCAACTCCTATAACTTGTTTTCTCTCTCAATCGATCTTAACTCTCCGATTGTTCCGGAACTTGCTTATGTTCGATATCTTGTTAAATGGGGTTCACGGCTGAAGGAGGAAGAAAGATGAAGAGTTCTCTGGAAATCTTTTTCTCCTCTTCTCTTTGGCTCCACGTGTTTATAAAATACCTATGATAAATTTTTAATTCATTTATTTTTCAAATGACCATTTTGCCCTTTCATTCATCCTTCTTTATTATTTAGTCCTACACAAAGATATTTCACTTAAGTCCTTGAACTTTTTAATTTATCTAATTTAGTCACTAAATTCTAAAATTTTACAATTTGATCACTAACCTGGTGTTTGGGATGTTACGGTCAGTATATGATAGTCATTTATCATAGGGGATTATTAACATGCTGAAAAGTGTAAAGAAAGTGGCCAAAAATTGGGTTGTAGAGTCTTTTAAACATGATCCAAACATGATTGCAACTTTAGAAGAAAATATTGAGGCTCTTGAGGCGTCAGTTTTTTCATCAAATCACTTGGCTGCTACACTAGAGGAGATATGTGTATTGAAAGCCAAGTTGTGGATGAGATATCGTAGGGAAGAGCGGGAGTGGCTCTAGAAACACCGACTTAGATGGTTTAAGGAGGACGGAGAAAACACAAAAAATTTCCATTTGATGGTTGCTAGTAGGGGTCAATCAAATTCTATATCCTCTGTTCGAGTGAAAGGAGTAGAGATTAAGGAGAATAAATTAATTGCTGAAGCTTTTTCAAAGCAGTTTAAGGAAGCAATAATGAGTGTAATACTCTGCCAGTTGGGGATTTTGACATTCAAGTCTAAAAGCTTAGTGTTACATCAAGGAAGGACCTAGAGGGCCTTTTCGCCATCGAAAAGGTGTGGGCTGCAATTATTTTGACGGATGGTTCACGAGCTCCTGGTTCAGATGGTTTTAATATTGATTTTTTCAAAAAACAAAGGGCCAAACATTAAAAAAGCTATTATGGTTATGTTATCTGAGTTCTTTAATGGGAGGCTGTGTGTAAAGAGTATAAACCGATCGTTTATAACCTTGATCCGAAGAAGTTGATTCTAGAAGAATTAGTCGATTACAGACCAATTTCCCTTGTCGGAAGCTTATATAAGATTATTGCTAGGGTGCTTTCTAGAAGACTAACAAGGTGTTTAAAAGAAGTGATGGGTGAGAATCAATTTGCTTTTGTGGCTAGAAAACAAATAACATATTATTCTTTGATAGCAAATGAAATTATAGATGACATTAGAAGAAGAAAAAGAGTAGTTGTATGCTTGAAAGTCGATTTCAAAAAAGCTTACGACTCGGTGGATTGGAAGTTTTTGGATCTGGTTTTACTACACATGGGTTTTGGTCCTCGGTGGCTTAATTGGATAAGATTGTGTATCTCGAAATCGTCTATCTCGATTGTAGTGAATGGATATCCCTCTAAAAGCTTCAAAATTGAAAGAAGCCTCTAGCATGGGTGTTAATTGTCGCCGATGCTGTTTAACTTGGTGGTGGGTGAGGCTCTTAGCGGTCTGTCGCGAAAAGCATAGGAGATTGGACTATTTCTGGGTGTTCCAGTAGGGAAGTCAGGCCTTAGAGTGTCCCATATCCAATTTGCGAACGATATAATAGTATTCTCCGAAGCTAATAGTGACATGATTCAAAACCTTAACAGGTGATTTTGAGTTTTTGAGCTTTCTTCTGGTCTCAAGCTAAACTTGAGTAAAATGAATTTATATGGTATTAGAGTTGATGTGGAGCAAACAAAATTGTTGGCTGATGCGGCTAAGTGTAGCATGGATTCTTTTCTGACACACTACCTCGAACTACCGCTGGGGCATGTTAGGAACTCTATGGTGATTTAGAATCCTGTGTTGGAGAAATTGAAGTCGAGGCTTGATGGGTAAAAAAGAAAAATGCTATCTTTCACTAGGAGAATAACACTGGTGAATTCAATCTTGGTCAACCTTCCAGTTTACTACTTATCTTTGTTCCTTATGCCTGCGGGTGTGGTAAATAAGCTAAATAAAATGATTGCCAATTTTATTTGGGGCGCAAAAGAGGGTAGGGCAATCCATTGGGTCAAATGAGACCAAGTCTGTTTGCCAAAGCAAGTGGGGGTTTGGGAGTGGTTGATTTGAGGTGCGAGAATCGGGCGTTGTTGAAAAAATGGGTTTGGAGATTTGGGAGTGAGTTGGAGGGTCTTTGGAGAAAAGTTGTGAATGCTAAATATGAGTGTGAGAAACATTCCTTGGTATATAACCTGACTCGAAACATCAAAGTGTCGTGGATATGAAAAAACAGTACTAGCCCAATAAGATCGATGGAATGTGTGGTTTTCGAGAATCTAAAGAGTGTTATAGGTGATGGTTTATCGATTAAGTTTTGGGAGGAGTGGTGGACTGAAGTTAGATCTCTCAAGCTAGCTTTCCTCATTTGTTTAGCATTGATGTTCGTAAGAATGAGAAGGTAGCAGATTTCGGAGTTATGTCCGACGGGACATGGACCTGGAATATTGAAATGCGAAGAGCATTATTTTCTTGGGAAAATGACCTATAGAAGGCCTTCATGAGTATTTTAAATCATGCTACAATTGGATGTGACGAGGTTGATAAGCTAGTCTGGATGGGATCCCCGATGGATCATTTTCAAAAAAAAATTATTGCATACTAGTTACTGATGGGGTAAATTCTGATGCGTCACTCTAGATGTTAGTTTGGGCTAACATTGCTCCGCCAAAGGTGGAGAGTTTTGTTTGGAGAGCTATTAGACATAGAATACCTTCGTTTCTTGAACTCTCTAAAATGGGTATTCCAAATTTAAACTCAACATCTTGTGTGTTTTATCATAATGGAGTGGAAAGCGTAAATCATCTTTTCTACCATTGCCCGATCATTTGGGGTATTTGGAAAAAGTGGTGTTGCCTCTCGAATATCTCGATGGTTATGCCTGGTAGTGTTAAGGAGTGGTTATTTATTTGGGACACATTGGTAAATAGGAAAGATGATAAATCTTTATGGACACTTCTTTTTTTCGTTTCCATTTGGACCATTTGGACGTGTGTGAATTATTCTGTTTTTAATGGCAAAGGTTGAGTGAAGAGAAAATTTCAGAGTTGATTTTGTTGAGAGTAGGTTACTGGTTCAAGTGTAAATGGCCATTATCATCTCCTCATCCTTCGATTTTGCTAGAAATCCGGTTGCAATACTCAAACCTGCGTGTTAACATGCATCCCATGCTTGATTTTATAGCTATGTCGGTGTTTTTGGTTGTTGTTTTCGTTATGTAAGATGGGGTTTATTGATTTTGTCAAGGGGGTATTGTGTGGTGTGGATGTGTTATTGCGACAGTGGAGTTATATCGGCGATTTAACCAAACTGACACATATTTAACGATTATTTATCTTTTTAGCACCGTTTAATATATATTTCCCGAAGTGGCACCCTTTCGGCTGAGCTGGCGAAAGGCGTGTCCCCGGGGACGAGCTTTACCCGTGTTTTCACTGAGTTGGATGCCACGTGTGGAAGGCGCATCCCCGGGGACGCGCCTTCACTGACTCGACTGCCACGTGTGGAAAGTGCATCCTCGGGGACGCGCCTTCCATTAAATGCCATAAATGCCCCCATCCGTTTTCCCTAACTACCCCTCCTCCTCCCCTATATAAACCCCCTGAACCCTCCCTCATTCTTCACACCAAAATCATATTCTCCTCTCTTATATAACTCAAATTCTCCAACTATTTGAGTTTTAAATTTGTTATTAGTGGTAAGAAATTTATTTTTATGTTAGTATTTTTTTAAATAGTTATTATTTTTATAATATATTTATGTAAATATTATTTTTTTATTAAAATAATATTTATATAATTATTATTTATTTAGAATTATTAATTGTTTTTGTGCTAATTATATTGTTTTGTCTACAATTATAATGGAAAACGAAATGCTGTTGCGATTGGATATTGATCATATCTCCAGACATTTTAGCGATATGGTAATATTTTTTATAATTAATGTTAATATTTAAATTTATTTTTATTTTAAAGTTATTATGATGTATATTATTTAGGATACTGATCG